GAGATACCGCGCCCAGCGCCGGGGGGTGACGTGCGGGGAGCCGGGGCCCAGACTCCTGTGCCTTCCAGACTCCCTGACGGCCGACCGGTGGGAACGCCCGTCCGCGCTCCACACTAGTCCCTGGCCGGTGGGGGGTGGGGGCTCAGTTCTCTTCCACTAAGTGCCCTCTGGTGCGATTCGGGAAGCTGGGTGGCTGCTCCCCAGACCGAGGGCCTGGGCCATTTCCCGAGGCAGGTCGCCAGGCTCCTGCTGGAAGGAGGGGTCTTCTGAGCACAGACCTCCCTCCTGGCGCCCCTCAGCCTCCTAGGTCAGTGCTGTCTCCATTTCCCAGTTTCTCGGTCCTCTCCCTGGGAGCCCCCCTCCTACACCCAGCCTCAGATCCTCCCGGAGGGGGTTGTTTAAACTGTAGCTCCTCGGTGCCCACCCCCGGAAAAATGTGGAAGTGGAATTTGAATCTCAGGAAGGGCAGCCCAGAAATCTACATTTTTTAATTCTTCTCCAGGAGTAGCTTTGGAGAAGGGGTGCGGTCGGGGACTGCCTCAGATCTGGAGCAGGGCTGCGGGCGAGGCTCTGGGTGGCTGCGAAGGGGCGGGGAGCCGGGTCCCTGGGGTGGGAAAGGGTGGAGAAGTAGGTCAGTTCTGAGTCCGGGAATCGTCATGGAGGAGAGGTGGCTGTGGAGCAGGACTTCCCTGAAATCGGAGGCCCGGGAGGGAAAGGGTGTTCAGAGGGCGGGGTGCCCCCTGAGCCAAGGTGTGCCCCCCCCCCAAAGCAGAAAGGAAGTTGGGGGGAGTCGCCAACAGGTTGGTGAACGTGGCCTCGGAACACTTGTTTCTGGGGTGGCCAGAAGCCGAGGGCCTTGAGCAGGTGGCGGAGTGCTTGGCGGGCTCAGGAGGTGGGGGACCCCAGATGGATGGCTTTGGGCTTGGGGTGATAAGCCAGCCGTTGGTGGATCCCTAGGGTTAGCTCTGGGTAGACGGGACCTAAGCATCCGCTCCGTTTGCTTTAGAACAATGGGGTTTGGAATAAGTGGAATTAGAGGGATTTCCAATAAGAAGAGCATCCTGCTGTGCCCATGAAACCAGACGACCAATGGGCGCAGGCTGCCTGGCACTACTGGGGCCAATTAAGCAGAGACTGGGGGTTGAACCCAATAATGCCGGCAGAATGGGAAAGCAGCAGGTCACCCCGAAAATCTGCTCTGCACCCCGCCCCCCGTAAACCAGCAGCTTATATCGGGTAGGACGAAGATCACATGGTGAAGTAAGCAAAAGGACTCCTTCCAAGGTTGACTCCCAGGTCCCAGGGGCGTCCAGCCCCCAGCCAGGTTAGAATGTCCTTTTTTTAATCAGAACAAGGCCATCAAGTAAGCAAAAGGACTCCTTCCAAGGTTGACTCCTAGGTCCCAGGGGCGTCCAAACCCCAGCCAGGTTAGAATGTCCGTGTAACTATAGCTAGTCCTCAATATTCTATTTCTGTCCCTAACACCTGCAAGGACCTTGTGGCTTCCTCCAGGGGAGGCCTGTGTCTCTGACATGGGGAGGCGGGGGGTGTGGTGTGTGTGTGTGTCCCTGTGGGCTGAGCAGATCAATCTTGAACAGTTGGGTCCCATCACACAGATGTGGACACTGAGGTCTGGAACGCAGTCCTGTAGTGGAGATTGGCACTCAGGTCTCTAGACTCCCAGGGCCTGGGTGTGACGGGGGTGGCCTTTTGGGGTGCAGAGGATGAGGGTCTCCCATCAGAGTTCTGAAGATCCTCTCCTTTTAGTGCCTTCACCAATCAGCTTCTGGGAGAAGCTGCTTCCTGAGCTGTTTCTCTGGCAACGGGCAGTTCCGTTGGGTCTGAGGCTGGGAAGGAGGAGGGGTTCACTCAACAGGTTCCACCATCTGCTGGGAATCCATAATAATAGCTCCCACTAGTCAGGGACCCAAAGGGCTTTATAGCCTCTTACTCCTCCCCCTTTTACAGGTGAGGACACTGGGGCTCAGAGGTCAGTTCTTTGCCCGAGATCTCACAGCCCTCCTCCCTAGGGGAGCTTAGCCCTGAGTGGTCTGACTTTTCTGGCCTGTGCCCTGGGGATCACACTCAGCTCTGCTCCCACCAGGCACAGGGTCTGGCGCTGTTGAAGGACAGGCTGCCTAGAGGAGGTGGGAAATGGGAAGATGAGGCTGCTTCTCCCTTTCCGGGGATGTGGTGAAGTGGCCCAGGGGTGTGTTGGGAGGAGAGGCGTGGGCGCAGGAGGTACTCTCTGCCTGGTATGAAATGTGTCCTAAAGAACCCACCTCAGTGTTCACTGATGTATCCACCCTCCCTCCTTATCTAGTTCCAAAGTGAACATCAGTCCCAAAGAGACCATCGTACCAGCAATTTGCAGCAAGTTTAAGGCTCTTATTCTTTGTTGAGCTTCCTAGCAGCCTGGGCAAAAGGGGAAACTTGGCGAATTTACGCAGATAGCATCGTGGAAAAGGAAGCAGGCGCGTTTGATCTAGAGGCTACTCTTTTGATGATAAAAACCTGGAGGTTTGATGCTGCAGATCTTTGTGTGGCTACGGGGTGTAAGAATGTCGTGGAAGGTGTGGTTAATTTGTGCTTCTGGCTGACCCCAAAGCCTTTATAGAATAAGCGAGAAGCGGATGCCGTTACGTGACCATATGTTTATTATTTTTTAAGATCCTCCCCAAGTCTTGGGAAGGAAGATGATGGGCGGCAGGCTCAGGGAGGGTGAAGAACTTACCCGAGGTCGTGGGGTCACGTGGCTGGAACGGGATTTGCACTCAGATCTGGAAAGTCAAAGCCTGGCTTTAGCTCTGCTTCCTGTTTTGAGTGTGTTGTTTTTTCTTGGGGATGGGTGTTGCTATGCTTTGGAGGAGAAGGGGAGCTGGGCCCCTCAGGGAAGGCTCCCTGACAGAAGTGTGAGCTAAAGGGTGTGGTACAATGGAAGGAGGAGGCGGTGGTAAGCAGGGTCAGGACAGACCATAGGCTCATGCCAGGGCACCCTCGAGGCCCAAGATATAGAAGCCGTGTGAATGTCCTGTGGCAACAGCGCCATTGTGTTTGGCACCTTCCATCCTTCCTCTTGTCCTACCTCTTGGGAGACCAGTTTGTAGGTGAGTAAACAGATCAGAAGCCTCACCTGCGTTGGATCACAATGACCCAGCGTCCAGGGCGGGTGATGCTGAGAGTATTGGTGGGAGCACAGCCCTTGGTTCAAATCCTGCCTCTGCCCCTTCCTGGCTGTGTGATCTTGGGTAAGTTCCCTAATTTCCCTGAGCCTCAGTTTTCTTGGCTGTAAAATGGTGACTGTGGGATTGTGAGGCCCGTGGAAGATAATGCCTACCAAGGGCTTATCGTGGAGTATTTTGGGATGGAGGGCACTTAGGATTCACAGTGTCATAGAATCCTAGGGCTCTTATGCTTGCTACCAGAGGTCCCTTGGTGCATGCTCAACATGAGCTTGCATGCTTCCAGAGACAGGGAGCTCAGTCCCTCTCCATGCGGCCTGCTCCATCCTGGGGCGCTTGGGAGTGTTAGAAAGTTCTTCCTCCTTGACCCTGGCTCTGCCTTCAGCCCCAGCAGGCAGGCCAGCTCCTCTCCAGGGGCGGGGCAGGGCAGGGCCTGAAGGTCAGCTGGCCTCCAGGAAGAGGCTGCCTCGCTGAGGTTGTTCAGGTCTGAGAGGTGTGAGCAGAGGTTGGTTGCGTTGGGAACGTAGTGTTGGGTTCCTTAGCGCTGAGATTTGTGGGTTCGGTATCCTTGGTGCTGCTTTCCAGGCCCCGCAAGCTCTCGGGCTTCCTCCAACGCAGAGCAAACCATGCTTGGTGTTGTTAGCTCCGCCCACCTCCCCACTTGTGGCTAGGAGGATGTTGACTTACTTCCAATTAATTTATAATTACGTTATAAATATATGAACACACCCTCCTTAAAAAAATAAAAACCTACTACAGATAAGGCTAAAGTTATTCTTGGATCTCCTACCCCTGTCCCCAAGGGGACCGCTGTTTTGGGGTGTTTGCAGGTCTTTTCCTGTGCTTTTAAAGAAAACACTGATGGCTTTATTCTGTATCCGTTGTTCAGGAAGTTGCTTTTCTCACACCCAGGGCGCCTGCCATGCAGAGCTGCCTCCCTCGTTTCTAACGCTTTCAGGGTACCCCATAGCGTCACGGTAGCCCCTCTCTTTTAGCCACTTCTCTGTTGATGAACCTGTTTAACAAATGGTTTGGCACGATGATTGACAAAAGCCAAACATTCAAACGGTACCAAGGGTGGTCCATGGAAATACGGTCTTTCTTGTCTCTCCCTGACCGGGCCTGCGAGGCAGCCACCAATATGTGCGTGGGGATCCAGGGCCAGTTGGTAAATATTTCTGCACAGAACCCGCATCCCCACTTTAAAAAGCCCCCATGGGAACCCCGAGAATCTGTGCCCAGCCATGCTTCCCCCCCTCCCCCTCCCCCACCCCCGGGGCAATACACCCAGATGTTCTGTCCCAGTGCCCATCGCACTGTGTGTGTCCTTTTCTTTAATCCTTTATTTACTTACTTTCTTTAATAAGTAATGTATTGACAACGCTCCGGAGTCAAATAGAGTGGGAGAGAGCGCAGTGAGAAATCTCCGTCCCTCTTGGTTAGAGCTGGCCCACTCTTCTCAGTTTGCTAGGTGCCCTTTTGCTTTTAAGGAGATCTACGCAAATGTGTGGTGGACAGTCGCTGTTCTGCACACATGGCGAGGCCAGGAGTTGGCCACTGCTTGTCAGCTGGTGAGTTGTTCGTGGTGGGGTTCAGTGAGGACCAGGTCCCTGTGTCCTGCTCACATGTGGTCTGGGGAAGCTGCAGGGGTCCTGCCCTGGTCCCCATGGCGAATGGGAACCAGATGCAGGGGGCGGGGAGTGGGGGTGGGGGGGGTGAGCCTGCTTTTCTTGGCAGCCCAGTGAGCTCCAGCCTGGATACTAACAAGTCCTTTGTTGTTGGACTGGGTTGGACCCTCCTGTTTGCCCAAAGGGGAGGGGCCAGGGTGGCACCTCAGGCTCTCACGGAGAGGTCAGGGCAGGAAGGCAAGGGCCAAAGGTCAGGTTCTGCTAATTAAAAAAAACA